AAAACTAAGATCCCTGGCCTTCAGAGCTGGGAGAAATAGTCTCATGTGTCTGTCACTCACAGAACAAATGGAACCAATGGGGCCACCACCTTCAAATGACCTACACAATAAGCAACTCTGTGAAGACTGTGGTAAGTGGAGGCCTAGAGCCCCCTTCCCATTTACCAGGCACCATTTAAGTCTTCAGACTTTTCTGTATGAACCCAGGGAAGAAGTCCCCAAACACAACTGAGATTAAAGTCATTACAGAAACCCAGGTGACAGGCTCAAATCTCAATTAAAACTGATTTAAACAGAGAAACAAGCTATTTCCTACACCCGAATGCAGTGGAATAAATCCATGCTAACCACCTCGTGGGGGGTCCACTGAGAATGCTGTGATGTCTTAGGCAGAGCTAATCTAGAATTAGAGCCACCTGCTCTGGAGACAGTGGTTATGTCCCTGCTGGAAACATTGGGAGCAAAAATCCTTAAAAGTCCATGCTGGGTCTCTGCATACAGCAAACGTGAGGAGAATGGACATGAAGGAATCTTGCAGAGCGCTTTCAAATCCCTTAGGACAAGGTTGAGGCAGAAAGGAAGGATGGATGAAGTCTCTTTCTGAAGAGATTTCTTTGCTAGCTCCAGGAAAACAAAGAAACAGAACAAAAAGGTCCACATTTCTGATTCCAAAGGGTATTTTTTTTTTTTTTAAGAAGAGAAACAACTGACACCCAAGCAGAGGAGGGCATCCTTATTGCCAGAACTGGAGCCTGGCAAGAGCCCCACGTTCCCAGGCCTAGACGTGTGTCCTAAGGTGTGTTCTGACACAGTGAACTAGGTCATCCTTCCTAGAAGGGAAATGGCAAACTGCTTCCTGGGGCTGAACTTCTGCTTCTGGGAGAAGAGGCAGCCACATCTCTGCTCATCCAGATTCTGGTGGGCAAGAAGCCGCGATGGCTAGAATAGGAGCTGAGAATGTTTGCTAGAACTTCTGACATTTCTGTAGTGACCTTTGAGCAAGCTGAATGAGAATGCCTGGGATTTGATGTGAGCCACGTTGTAAATGGAGGGCAGAGGGAAGATGCCTGATTCGCATCTGAGAAGTCACACTAAAGTTGTATCTTGGGTTCTTGGGATGTTGAAAAGGAAGTGTTCACCCTGGGAAATGTGTACCTGACCACTAAGGACAGGCTTTTTTTGCTTCAAGCTCAAGACCAAGGGTGCAGATGTAACTAGTGATGCTACTGGATGAAGAGGAGAGAGGAAGAAGCTGCTGATTCCTCATCAGGAGAAAGAGTCACATACACAAAGGACTGTGCCAAGGCTACCTGCACAGGCCTAGCTGGGGAGCCTGAGAGCTGAATCATCCCACTGGTTAAAAATCTTGCTGCTGTTTTTCTGGGATGGTCAGACTTCTATTCTGTCTTCTGTTGTGTGGCCTGGGACATACCTGGGAATGTGTGATGTGGTGATGGTGGTGGTGGAGGAGGAGGAGGAAGAAGAGGAAGAGAAAGAGGAGGAGGGGGAAGCTGCTGCCTCTATTGCAA